TATGACCAAATGACCTATGACAGGTCATAAAGGTCATATAGGTCATTCAAGGTCATCAGCCAACACTGGTATATTGTACACATAATCACATAATAAATTACATAATACAATTTTTCTGAAATTAAATCTGCTAAAATGAAAACTTAAATTTGCAAATAGAAAAATATGATCTGATTCTGAAATGAAATGTTGAGAATTTTTTAATTGCAATTTTTTTTTCCAAAAGATGATTTTCATCATCTATATCTGGTAATATCTGGACTATATTATATTATTCATTATCATCCGCTTGCACACCAACTCGACGGTTTTTAATTAAGTGCAAAATTAAATGCAAGTTACAGAAAATGATCTTCAAATAATAGAATTGATTTAAAACAAAACGACTTCGACACTTATTCCACATGAACTACATGTTTGTGTTGATATTCCAGTTTCAGGATCTTCAACCGCCATCCCGAACTCATGTTTATGTTCTCGGTACCTATTCTTTTCTAACTCATCAGTTCTTGTACGCTTTCGAAGATCTTAAGATAAAATTTATATTTAAATTTTTTACAATGCGAGGTTTCTAATGATAAGAGTTTTTTTTTATAATCGCGTTACCTGCAAGTTTTGATTTAAATTTTTTATCCTTCTTCTTTTTTTTCTCATTCTGACGCTTTTCAAATTCTTTGTCAAGTGCTTCAGCACCTCCCCATTTTTGAAAGGAGAATTCTTCCACCTTCAAAAAATGATCTTAGTTGTATACTGTAATGCAAGATGAACTACCATACTATCAACTAAAAGTACCTGTTCTCGAAGATATAACATCATATCATTCCAAGTCGATTTGTGTGGATTAGGTTTTGACAAATGCGGCAAGCGTTCTTCATCCTTTAATTCAGATAACATTATATTCGATTATTGGGATTGATAATGGCGGAAACGTTTAATAACAAATGAATTATGATTCTCACCATCCGTTAATAAGTAGTCCTAAAAGCCCATTAATAAAAATTGAGGTTAATTACTTTCATAAAATGAATTCTATAAATGAAGAATTGGAGATTTACCTCTTTCGCTTCAGTTTTTGTTAGTAAACTATACTTTTCAGGAAACTTTTCCCTGCAAGTTTTGCAGATATTTATGCGAAATGTCCGATGAAATTGATAATCTATTTCTACAGATTTGCATTCT